CTTTCACGCACAACACTCGGAGAGCCAATCACCGCACCTTACGGAGGCAGCTTAGCGAGTGACGACGCCGAAACATATGTTTAGACCAAAAAACGCAGTCTGAGTTGTGACATTAAGCAATACAAAACGTCACGCTTGCATTGCTTAATGTCACAACTCAGACTGCGTTTTTTGGTCTAAACATATATGTTTTGGCATCGTCATTCGCTGAGCTGCCTCCGTAAGGTGCTTTGATTGGCTCTCCGAGTGTTGTGCGTGAAAGTAGACTTACAGACATTTTTTAGACTGTGGCGCCCCCTGCGTCTTGATGCGTTTTGGTATCAGCGCTTAAACCAATCACGCACAAGGAATGCGCACTCATCCTGCGCCTTTCATTCTTCTTTTTGCGTGATTGGTTTAGCCGGTGATAGCCAACGCACAAAGCGCTGCTTGATTGGCTCTATCAGCTCGTATCGTCGAATGCACACAGAATTAGTGTGCAACGAAGTATGGGGATCAGTTTCAGTTGTCTGGGACGATTAAAAATGTCTCCTCTTTTCCTGCCTCAGTCTCGGGCTAAGAACAAAATGGTAAAAATGTCTGTTTTGTTGGCTTATCAGCGGCCCTTTAAAATGGCACCGCAACAAAGAAACATCTCCGTGGCACTGCGCGCTAGTATAACTTTGTAACACTTGTCAGCGTGATTGGGTAAACCGCGTTCCATTTAAAAACAATAATGTTTCACTATGTATTCTGGACGCCATTTATTAAAAAGAAACTAAAGCGGTTTTTATTTAAAAAAATAACACTTAAATTGTTTCTAATTAGCATCCAGGATCACGTATATATATATATGTATATATATAAAATTGTTTAGGATTGATGCGCCAAGTATAGCCACAACAGGACTTTCAAAGTGGTGCTGAAGCCCCTCTTTCCCGGCGCGTTCGGTGAGAGGAGAGGATTGTGACGTAGTATTACACGGGGATCTGAACATTTCCTTGCCTTCCGCGCGCCCTACCCGGAGCAACCAAAAACGCTGCGCGCGTTCCCCCACAAGCGCGAAGCAGTTGAAAGCTCTGCAGGTACGACGTCGCAGCCAGCGTTTGGCTTCTCAGCTTTTTCCCGCGTTTATTGATACGTTAGGGTCAAATGTTCGTGACATCCAGATTCACGTGAGAAAAATACACTAAAATTGACCTCTCACTCGTTTTTTTTAAAGAATACTTGGGTCAGTGGGTTACGTAATGTAGTTGTTTAATAAAATAACAATTCGATTAGCATGCAAATGCAGCGGAGTGGGTCACGGTCGTGGATTAAGACGCTGGCTCCAAACGGGTTTACAGACGTCGCCGGAAACTGAACAAGGTAGTGCTAAAATTGGTAGAGGAGAGAGGAAAGGTAGTGCCGTAAGTTTGATCCGAAGAGGAATAATATGCTTTGCCGAATAAAAGTATTTTTTTATTTGTCTCGTTATTTGACGAGCGTAGCTAATCGTCCTGAGAATTTTCCCATGTTCCGATTTTGTCAAGATCACCTTGGTCGGTTAAGACACCTTGCGCAAACTCGCACCATTCACGTAGGTCGAGGTCGACAGCCTTTATGCTGGAGTACCGCTGAACGATTACTATTTTGTCTTTTCTGCAATGTTGCGGGAATAGCGGTCTGCGACTTTGCTAGCGGAGGAAAAGCGAAAATGGGAGCGATCCCTCTGGTCGCCGACATCCTCAGAAACGCGGGGCTTGACGAGCACCCGATCCTTTTAATATCGCAGCCAATGAAATTGTGGTGGATAAGAATTCCGAACAACGAATCACGAAGCGAGATGCCAAAGATACTACTCACGCTGTAATAGGCCCTCACTTCTCTATTTGCCTGTATATGGAATGCTCTTTAAAACAAAACACCGCAGACATTTTCTGTTCCTTCTTCCGTACTTTCGTCAATTTGCCCGTTAAATATAGCGAGAAAATTGAGGTCTCGTGACTTTAAGACATCGTGTGACCACACAGCGACTCGGCACCGTGGCGTCGTGTCACGGGATCACGCACACAGTGACGTCGGGTCACATTACGCCTTAGATGGAGGGAGGGAGTGAGAAGACGGAAGCTTGTACGTATATATTCCCTTTCGTGGACAGTTCGAATGGCGTCAAGGCTACTTTCACGAGCGCTTGACTATATTTAGCCATTTGTTGGCGCGCGCTCCCGTGGAAACGATACGTTAGATAAATTCAAGCGCTCGCGCCAGTAGGTTTGACGGCGTTATACATGATGTTTACATCTGACCACTGCCATGTTCCTATACTCGTCTGGGCAAACACGTGAAATTGCGAGCCTGCCAAAACAGCGTCCCCGCGCACGCTGCGAGTGCTTGTATACGTATGGGCAGAGTCCTCTCATATGGGGCACCGATCAGGGTGCCATCCTTGCAATGGACCCTTTCCGGAATTCACACTGGCCACTTCGATAATTCTCATCACCTTAGTGTATTGTATTTTTACGTGCTAAAAGCGGCCTCTTGATGGCTGGTGAAGGAAGAATAGACCGATCTCACCAGTGGTTACGCCACCGCTGCCGCAATGCATTCAGGAAACTTTGGCCTTTTTGCAGGTGCGACAACCTTGCTGCAGCTCTGCGCGTGCAGAGCCCGAGGCCTCATGAGTCGTCTCGGGCACTGACGCCTGCTTTTTATGAACTGAAGTTATGGAGGCTTCACGCATGCTACCAACACTTAGTGAGATCGGTCTATTTGAAGACATACGGTGTAGCCTGAACATTCCAGATGTTAGTTCGTTGTATTACGCGAAAGATCGGTGGCCGAGTGGGCTAGCGCTCGCCAGTTTGGAGCACGTGGAGTGAAAGCCCGCGCTGCAGAATCCAGGGATCCTGAATTCAATCACCACCCCTGCCCGTTCCGATCTGGATGAGCATTGTACCGGCGTGCGGTCGTGTATCACTACTGCGTGGTGCACGTTAAAGACCGCAAGCTAGCGGTTGTTCTGCACTGGCTAAATTCCTCATTTACAGCTGGGAGACAACTCGCCCGTTGAGGCAAACTAAGTTCTAGGCTGCATGAACATACACACACCCAAATTTTTGTTTTGGGCTGTCTTAATTTTTAAGTATGTCGCACCAATCCGCCCAAGCTTCGACTTAAAGGAGCTGTGCAACGATATTCAATTGGAATGTTTTTCTCTCTACACGAGCTTACTGGCACACCTGGGACTCAAGGATACTCACACGCAACGCCGTTGGCCAAGAAACTCCTTTGTTGCGGTGTAATTTCAAGGACAAAAGCGATCATTTTCATTCAATCTCTCCTTTGCAAAATTTGATGACGTAACTCGGGGATCGCAGTACACCCAAGTGACGATATTTGAATGCGGTTCATAGATTGGACCCGAGCATTGCGTGGGCACTCGACTTGGGCTCGTGACAATTGCTAGCTCGAGAAGCATTCGGGTTGTGACCCGTGTCCAATCGCTGCAACGACAACAGCCGAGCCGTAACAATGTCTGGAACTCAGCGCGTGTCCTGCGCTTTGCCAACCCCAGCTATGATCAACACTGGCGGCATATAATTGGCTCCAGATCACGTGGCCGCTTGTTCTGGCTGCGAGTTGAGGGGGTGAACGCTGCTCGTTTTTCTTAAATTTTTTTCTGGGACTTCTATTGCGTGGGGTGAAAAACGAACGCGTGTTTCATAGGTCATTAACGTTAGGGATCCGTTTTAAGCGGTATTTGTGCACAGTACAAAAATTGTTGCATTGCTCCTTTAAGTACTGTTCACTTCCTTGAAATAGCAGATTGAGAGTATAGAGCGGAAACTGTGGTGAAGCGTAACTGCAGTTAAGGCTACTCGTGTAACGAGGGTATAAATGGCCGCACCCCTCCTCGGGGTAACAACAACCGTGTTTTCCGACAGTGTACGTATGTGTACCGTACCCGTCGCAAATTCACCCTGATTTTCAAAAGCAGTGAAAGCGGTTTTGCCATTCGACTTGACCGACACATCTACATAGTGCCCCCCCACAAGCACACAAATATATATATACATATATGACGATGTTTTTGTGTGTTTTTATTACTGCAAGAATAAACTATGCATCGCCGAAAGCTCATTCTCCGCCCAAATGCAGGGAATCCGAAGAGGTGCGAACCAGATGCCAAAGTTTCAACACTAACCGGTGCCTCCATGAAAAGTTGTGATTTCCCGCAATTTTCCATGACAAAATGGGGCCCATTTTGCCCGTTTTCTGTAGGCGGCGCTATAGAGCTCCATGTATTCAAGAGCTGTGTCGGCAGCCATTTTCCCATGGAAACTTTCAGCAAATAAAAACTTTTGCATAAGATCTGGTTCGGATCCCGAGCGCATGATTTCTGGCGAAAAATGAGCCTTCAAAAATGCGTAACTTAACTTGCATTAAAAAAAAAAGGAAAACATTGTAAATTTGCTTTAGCTTGGGGGGGGGGAGGGGGGGGGGGGAAGGGGGGGCACGGTGTACTATTGGTAGCTTAGGGTCTCTAACGTGCGTGGATGAGCAGTAGTGACAGACGACCGCACGCCGGTATGATGCTCATCCAGGTCGAAACGAGCAAGGCTGCACATTGAAAGGGTCCCAGAGTTCTGACTTTCGCCCGGATCAGTAGTTTTTGCTGCGCTTTAAGCTGTTTTAGAACGGGACACGTTCTACGGTTCACCCGTAATTTAGGCGTTTTTTTTTGTTTTTTTTAGAGTTGTGGGAAGTACGGGAGCGGCCGCATATGGCTTTATAAAAGGCTTTTGTTCTGCGCGAACTGTCGTGCAAGCAATTAATATGTAGCTAATAGAGTTACTAACGCTGAACACAGCAAGGTATATGCCGAAGAGCCATATCGATTTATTGGTGCGCAACTTGAACCGCGGCAAATTTTATTAATGCTATGTGTATTAAGTTCCTCTTTGTATATGTTAAAAAACAAGGAAGTAACGCTCTCAAACTTTGACCGAGGATCTAACGCATGAAAAAAAAAAACGGTCCGTGGTTTAACAAAAGAAAGTTTATTTAGGCTGTACAAGGCAACATCTTATATTCTTACTGCAATCCATGTTATGCACTTCTTGTCATTATATTTACACAAACAATATACAGGTTATGTGGTTGCCATTTTTTATACATGTGACTGCTGTAACTCGAGGACGTAGAGTGGGTCGCGCGATCCAGGCCAGTCCTCTTAAATTCCACCGGCGAAATATCCTCTCCAGAATCGGCAGTTTTCTTCTTGCGGTCCCTTTCTGATGGTGAAGTTTTTCAGGGAGATGTCCATCAGGTACGGCCCGGCCTTGGTGTATTTCGGCCAGGCATGTTTTCCCAAGGTCGGCATCTTCCTGCAAACCGGATTCATCATGACCTGATTATTAGCTTGCACAATCTTATACACATATTGTGAGTTTGTTCACATGGTAAGATAATTGACCGAGGCAGTGTATATATATATATATATAAATCGAAAATATGATGATGATTGAACCGTATTTCATCGAATGAATCAATGTCTTACGAAACCCCGAAACTCAAAATATACGGCGGAGCCAGCTTTTGGGGGTTTTGTAAGGTATTGATTCATTCGATCAAGTACGGTTCAATCATCATCACATTTTCAATTATTTCCTCTTCGGAGACCGCCGTACGATGATAAAAAAATGCCCGTTGTTCATATGTATATATACCGAGTGTTTCATATTAATTCGAGAAATCTATTAAAAAAACATTAAAAAATGCACTAATACTGTTTGCGCGGGTTGTGTATACGGCCAAGGGGGGGAGGGGGCATTATGTGGGTGGCTAATCTTCGCGATAAGTCGGCTAATTAATTAAAATTCTTTAAATAGCGTTTTAATCAGTGAAAATAGACGTATGATTCCAATTAGAAACTTACTCAGCACCACAGAAAACCACTATATCAGTCAATTTTAGAACGACTTGAAGCTCGTGGGAAACTCGGGGGCACACCAAAATTATCACTCGTGCAGCAGGCGCAAAGCTAGCAGTGGCCACCACTGCTAGCTTTGCCCCTGCTGCACGAGTGGGAACGTTGGTACGCCTCCAAGTTTCATACGAGCTTCAGGTCGTTCTAAAAAAAGTGGATTTAGTGGTTTTCGACTGCGCTCAGTGAGTTTCTAATTGGAAAGATGGTGTCCATAGTGCATGATGCTTCGCGTCCGTACACTAAATGAAAAGGGGAGTAGCCCTTGGTAGACTGGATGGTAGGCAAAAGTTACGAACGGGAGTACAGCGTCCCAGTTTGTATGGTCGGGGTTGATGTGATGAGGACCCTCACCGTCGTCATCGGGCATCATCATATCTCCACCATCATCACCATCACCGATAGCTCGCGTGGCCCGTGCTCGCCACCGCGGGCCAGTTTGAATATAATCACCACTGAGACCGGTCGTTGAGCTTCTGTCTTCCTGACGATATATATATATATATATATATATATATATATATATATATATATATATATATCTTTCTGATAGCAAGCTATTTAAGATTTTCTTGGGCTCGAAATCGAGTCGAAGAAGTCGACGCGTCTATAGCCAGTGTCAGATTAGGAAGCTTGTGGCGTGGCAAGTCAGACGCATCTTATTATTATTCCAGGCCCAATGAGTTTGTTCTATTGGCCGATAAGAATGTCTAAGAACATATCGCGAAGCGAGAAACGTAAAATAATGAGCTAATTTTTAAACATAATGAGCCAATATTAAACATAATGAACCACGTCCTGCGTTTCTGATGCTGCCAGTGGAGTTTGAACTGCTGTAGAGTTGGAAGGCTTAGATCGGTCGTTCTCAGCCATCGATGTTTCGCGGACCACTTGTAGGTCGGCGGAGATGACGGAGGACCCGTTTGTGGGGAAGAGAGGGGAAAGGTATAGGTTAAATATAATAATGACTTAATAAATGGATATGACTAAGGTGTAGTGTGAAGTGGACTTCTCTTAGTGACATACACACGAGAAAATTCGAACGAAAGCTTAAACAGTTTTTCTCGATCTGAAAAAAGACAACTTTTATTGCCGAGCTCTGCTGGTGAGGCAGGGCGTCGTGGAGTCCTAAAACGCCTTTGCGGACCTCCATTTGAGAACCACTGGCTTAAATTATACTAGAAATATTTAAGGTTTCGCGCAAAAAAGTGACATTTTTATTGGAAGCAAGTTTTGACTCGCTTTGCGTAACAGCGTACAAGCTCCGAAGGATTTGGAGCCCTTCAAAATATATCTTTACAGAGGTGGTTACCTCGACGATTCGCATACCACAGCAGGTATACGAGGCACATTTTGTAAGAAACAAACTGAAATATGTAAAAAAAAGCGAAGGGTCAGCCTTATCTAGTTGTCCTATACTTTGCATCACTTTAAAACAGAGCTCAGCCAGGGCTATCAGTTGAGGGTTCAATCAAGTAGAGCGGAAAGTGCATCGTCCGGGCGTTCGCCGTCTTTCTGTGCGTGCCCATCCGCGAGCTCGCCCCATTAGGTCAAAGGAGTACGCCGTGACTACTCTTTTTAGTCTCTGTGAATACGCTTGGGAGTCTTCCAGACGGACAGCTCTCCAACTTCAGGTGGAACAAAGTGGTTCTCTCCTTCCCAAGGGAGGTCGGCGAACGATAAGGGCGCAGAATAGCAACACGTTTTGATCTGTATCTGATATCTGACATGTGCCCATGATCATGGCGTCTGTTACAGACCAGGAAGAAGAAAAGGAATGAGGGAGCTTTTTTTTCTTTTTTACTCAGTCTGAAAACGAAAAGTAAAAGATAAGGTCGCACCGACCGATTGTCTGTCGTTTTTGCCTTCGTGTTTCTTGGTTTCTAAACAGCGTGAGCATGTAAAGCGGCTTGCAATCATACTGTCCCATGGCAGACTGGGTTTTTTATAGAAATTGTTTTTTCGACCTAGTCATTTGCGTAACATCGCACTGATTGGCTTTTCGACTGCTCTGCAGGAAAGTGGGTGCATGGGCATTTCGACAATACTGCGTGGTATTATAGAGCCATTTATTATTTTTATATATTCTTATTCTTTTTTTAGTTGACCGCGAAATATACTACGCTCCGCCTATATTGACGTCTGCAAATTCAGTGGAGGCGTGAGCTCGAATGGCCAAACACCGAACATGCCATAGACAGCCGTAGTTAAGAGCGAGTTATTCTCGTTCATTCATTACTCACGAACATCTTTTTGGCCACTTTTTTTTTTTTTTTTTTTACTGTCCTCTAATCTCACTACTGCTAATGAAGAAGCCGCAATTAACTCGCTCACGTTTTTGTCTCTTTGCCAGCTCGAAAGCTATAAAGTGGCATCGGTTCAAGAAATCTAATTCTGCAAGACCGAAACGAGTCGCTGACAGCTAATTAACCTTTTATCCCGCACGTTTGCCTCGTTTTTATGTTATATGCGCCATTGCTATATCCGGAGGTGGTATTGGCCAGAAAGCATTTCAAACACGATGGAATGATGGAACACATAAAACTTGCAATAGGCTGTGCGCTATGTTAGCTAGTTTATCAGTAAATATTTCGAACCAATTTTACTTTTATTTTTATTCATCGCATTAGTAAACACGGTGCATGTAACGCAATAATCTCAAATTTCGTGGTATGTAACCCTAGAAAGATTTTGACGAAACGGAAGTGAATGAGTGAATGAGCTCGTAACGCTTTGTCACAAAAGTTCCAGGCAATTTCGGAAAATTTTCTTTAAAGAATATAGAACTTCGCGGAACCCACACAGTGGTTATATTTAGAAGGTTTACAACAGTGAAGGGTGCTATTGACTTCTTAACTTTGTCTTTGCTTTGTCTCTTGGAAAAGGGTAGTAGTTGACTAATTTATGCACTTAAACTTGGACATATTATCATCACTGCTATACGATCATTAATTAGACATTCGTTGGCTTGATACTAGTTTCTGATTGTCCGTTTTTTAGTGATGCTGCGATATTATAGGTGTCTTAATGATAGTAACAAGATAATCGAGGCTAAAGAGACTCGATAAACAACTCTTAAATACCTGTCAACGATTAGTTTTGTTTTCATACATTCCACGTATAATTTGTTTTTGCAATAAATTCTAGAGTGTTAGGAGTTTATTTTAGGGTATTACACTAGGTAAAATATTCTGGACTCGCGACACAATATAACATTATGCTAAACGGGGCTTAGGTTCAAGTACCGGACGCAGTTTGTATAAACAAAGCCTGCAGGGGCTTATTGCTATGATATTACATTTCTTTTCAATACCAAAAAGCTTTTTTTCGAAGTGCAACTGCGGTTAAAATAAAACCACCACGTGAAGGTAAATCATATGAAAGACGCCATCTTTAACAGCGCATTTTTCATACTACGCCCGGCAAATCAATCCGTATAGAACGACATACAAGTTTTTTAACATACTAACAAATACTAAAAAGTTCAGAATGTTATTCCTAAAAAATAGTGCCGAAAGTAGTCCACCAAGCCTTAGTTAACGAAACACCGATATGTGTATGTTTTAGGCAGAAGCATTCTTTATTCAGTAATGCCCTAGTTCCATAAGGCGAAAAAAAAAAGAAAGAAAACGACACCCGCCCCTTTTAAGCATGTGCAGCATGTACGCGAAGGTACATGGCAGAACAATATGAGCTGAAACACCTGATCTGGACGTTTGGTACGCTTGTTCACACGAGCTCCATAATCTCTCAAATGGTCAAAGAGTTCGAAGATTGAGAAGCATCACGTTTCAAGTCAATTTTGTTACAAAAGTTTTATTAAAAACTCATAGGAAACCAGAAGCAGCATGAAGGGCTGCTTCAGCTCATATTGTCTGCGGTAGTACCCTCAATATACAAGCAGTCTCTTGGTACTGATGCTGTAAGCACGAGTCATTTCATTCTGACAATCAACACAGGCGTTTTACAAATCTTGTTCTCTCTGTGTATATGACCCGTTAATTCCTGCTTAAACAGTTTTGCTACTTTCTCTGCCCGCCAAGCTGACAAGTGTACGGGGTACGGCCCCTCACAAGCTGCATTATTGCAACTTTTCCCCCTGTCCTCTTTACCCCCCTTTTGTACTCTGGATGCAAAATAAACTGAATTGAATTGATATGCTCGAAGTCTGGTCGAGTTCTCTTACCCTGTCTTGGCAAATGTCGTCCACACGTGCACCAAATGACGACTCAGCATGCTCTCTTCGGCGGTCACTAGCTCTGGAAACGCCATCGCATGGCCGAACACGAAGGGAAACTCGTCGAAATGCGTTGTCCCCATCCAGGGTGGCCAGATACTGAAGCTGGGTCGGTGCGAGAACTGGTAGTAGTACACGGAACGTCCCTTGGACTGGTATCGTTCCGCGAAGAATCGACTTGGGCACGTGATGATGAAATCGCCGATAGAATCAGAGCCCCTCTGAAGAACCTTTGTGTTGTCTGTGCTGTCAAACTTCCCGAAGTAGAAGTCTCTGATTTCGCTCACGCCGCTCCGCATAAGAGTCCGGAAGAAGAGCAGCATGTAGAAGCCAAGCTCGTCCTTGGTGATGTGTTCCACGTTGTCGAACTTGAGGCCCCTGGAAAGAAAGTTGGACACGAAGAACGTCCCTTCGTTCTTGTTGTTTCCGATGAGAAGATCGACGTCGGCTGATTTCATCGTGTCGAGGAGCACGTCCGCGTTGTGCGCCAAAAAGAGACCGTCGTCGGTGGGGAAGAAAGTTTCGGCCTGCGGGCCCAGAGCCGCCGCCGCGACATTTAGCAGTTCGGTCGCGTTCTTATTCCTCATGCACTCCAACACTTCCGGGTCGCTTATGGCTTTGTCGAAGTCCTTAGTGCAACCCAGCGCACTGGCGAGGGTCTGGCTTTTCCGCAGAGCGTTGGTCCGATCGTCGTGCAGTAGCCAGAGGGGACTGCCACTTTCCATGATGGCCCTTTTAAAAAGGCCCTTGCTAAGGGGAGAGACGAGATGGTAACCCACTGATATGGCCCCCGCACTTTGGCCGAACACGGTCACCAGATCAGCGTTTCCCCCAAAGTAGACAATGTTTTCTTTTATCCAGCGGAGTGCCAGGACCTGGTCGTGCATCCCTTGGTTGCCGGTGATTCCGTCGATCTTAGTGCTGAGGAAGCCGAAGATCCCGACTCTGTAGTTGAAGGTGACGACTACAACGTCGCCAGACGCTGCCAGGTGGAGACCGTCGTAGAACGACCAGCTACTGCTGCCGTAAGTGAACGACCCTCCGTAGATGTACACCATAACCGCCTTGAGGCCGCAGCTGAACAGGTCAAAGCAGTACCTCGCCGGTGTCCATACGTTGAGGTATAGGCAGTCTTCGGTGGAGTTGGCCGCTGAGACAGTGTAATTCTGAGTCACAAAGAAATCTGGCTGTTTGCAAGGAAAGGGCGGTTGGGTTGCGTCCCGAAAACCTTTCCATGGCTTCACGGGAATCGGCCGCTGGAAGCGAAGCTTTCCGAGAGGCGGCACCGCGTAGGGAATGCCGTAGAAAACGTCGACAGGCCGGCCGAACGCCTCTCGCTTGACGCCTTTCAGCTTTCCCGATCTTGTGTAAAGAGAAGGGTGATGCTCTTGGGGCAGAGCTGCGACGGTGGACATGCTTACGGCAGCAGCAGCAACAACAAGGCACCAAGTCAGAGAGTGCATCGCCCAAATGTAGGACACCTGGGAACTAGCGCCGTTGACCGAAGCTGTATGCTCTCGTTGTTTTGTCACAGAGCGACGTCAGACTGCATCTGTCAGGTGGAAGATAGTCAATTCCAACTTCTGCCAACATAATAACTCTAGATTACGCTGCTAAATTACTGTCAAAACATAATGTCCAACCGAAATTCGTCCACCTTTGATATTAGCCTGTAGATATCTAAATCCAGAGAAAAATATGGCGCGGTACCTACATGCCCTACCAGCCCCGATTTACCGCAGCGTAGTACCACCTTTAAAAATGTCATCATCCCCCCCTCTCCACGAAAAAAAAACAAAAAAAAAAAACAAAGACAGAAGAAACGTACACCTGCACGGAAAAAAGCACTCGAACAGAAAAAGATATATCATGTCTCTAAGTCTGTCGGATGTGGCTTGAATTTCCTCCATCTTAAGAACATTTGAGCAATTACCGGATTACTCCGTGCTTTTCTTGCGCAAGCACGCAACATTGCACGCGCTTGTTCTCTGCCTGCCAAACGAAAATTACCTTATTGGACTTCTAAGAAGCCCGGCGATTATGGAGATCTGTGAGAACATCTGACTTTCCTGTATACTGCGAAATAGGACAGTACCACTGGCACTTCTATATGCGGAATACACGATCTGTGGGTTGACTAGCCGTTATTATAGCCAGGGTGCTCAGAAAGGAACTAACTGTTAGCATTGTACTCACTTGAGCATAAGAGAAAATAGGTTGTTAGTCGAGTGGATCCTATATTTTCTTCGTGAACAAGGTATCTTTCTAAAGATTTGTAAAGCCACAGAGTGAAAAGTTCAATTTAGAAAAGCGGGACTGGGCTTTATCGCCCGTCAGCTTTTATTTATAGCAAAAATAAAACCGATTTTTGAATGTGAATAGGACGTATTTTTCTTGGTTTAAGCGATATACACCTTTTTAGGGGGGAATGATAACCAATAGAGACGTCTTGCCACCTTATTGAGAAAATTCAGCTCATGGTAAGTCAATCGGTTCATGGCACTTTATGAAATAGGGCTTCTTTACCACTAAGCACTTGGCAGAGCCAATCGCGGCGAACTACAAAGGGAACTTGCCAAATGACGAAACGGAAAAACAACCCGTCTGCGTTGTTGCATTAAGCATGGTGAAGCATCATGCATAGTGTTACAGATGAGAATGCCTTGCTATGTCTAAACGTATGTTCAACCTTGTCTTTAACCTCGAGTTCTCTCCGTAGACTTAAACAATTAACTTTACATTTTTTTTTACTGGAAACTAGACACTTTATATTTTCTTAGAGTACGGTACTACGGAAACTGCCCGATGGCACGGTGTGTCGTGTGTTTCAAAAGTGCGAGACTGATCGAGGGGTGGTAAAGTAAATCTCCGCTAGCACTACCAGAAGGGGTATTTCCGCGCGGAAGTCTTTAAAAAAAATCACGTAAAAAACGCACGAGGAACCAACAAATCAGCACGTGCCCTGGATTGTGTCTTTGCCTGTTGCATGAACTGGGCCCTCAATCGTTACGATATAGTTTAAATCATTAATGCTACTGCGATGATCGCAATCTACGATTCTCAAGATTTTACACTTTATTGAGCGATACACAAAACCCCCCAGTATGATAATAATAATAAAAAAAAATGGCGATGTACTAATCGACGAGAACGGCCAGTCTACGTTGCCCACGACTTTCCTGGTCGTATAAAATCACGGAGAACGGAGCAGCGGTATCGGACAGTCTCGGGGCCCCTTATTGAATTGATTATAAATAAAAGTCTGTTGCATTTCGAGGAGCGACTGCATTACGTCTCTCTTGCTCTACGCGTCGATCGAGCAGTACCTCCGTCATTGCATAACGGTGCTTCAAAGCCGAGGACGAGAGAGCGACGTACTTCCTCACCTGCGGAACAGGCGGCGCAGCGCTGTTGGCGCGGGGAAACCGATGAGGCGAGTGGCGCACGCCGTGGCCTTGCGAAGGACTTCCTGCAGTCCCCCAGAGGCTTCCTTCTCGGACCGACACGAGGAACTACCCCTTCCGGATTCACTTCTCCGCCAAACAGGAGGGGGCGCCCGGAGAAAGTGGAACACCGACCGCCAGATCACATGGTTACCACACTCCCCTCGCTGCAGCACGCCGCTTATGTAACGCAAGCGCGAGCGATTCGGAGGAGAAAGTCTGGAAGTGCCGATTGGTCGCTGAAAATGACGTCGACCTCCATTTTGGTGACGTCGTTATAATCTAGTAGCGGAAACCATGTCGTTACGATGACGTAGCAAAAATGACGCCGTTAGAATGACGTAAAAAAATGACGTCGTGCGATTGCGTAATAAGAATTACGTCATAAAGTTATGTAATCAAAATGACGCCATTACAAAAGGTCAACGTGACATTTATCGCACAGGAAAGTGGATTTCTTCGATACCTTCATCGCTGAATGCGGGCAGAAATTGGGAGAGAGTAGGAGACAAGAGCGCGAGACGACGTCAAAGCAACCGCGCTCCGGTTAGAATGATTAGTGGGTAGGTGCAAAGCTCGCTGCCTTTGTCTCCACTGCACACTTGGAACGCGTTCGAACGCGAACGCCAAGCACGCGGACGCCGGACGCTGAAATTCCGCTTTCGCGTTCGAGGAGTGCAGTGGAGTCAAATGCAGCTAGCTTTGCGTCTACCCACGAATCATTCCAACCAGAGCTCGGTGTTTTGACGTCACGGAGCGCACTCGTCTCTTCCTCCCCCTCAGTTTCTGCCCGTATAGGCCGATCGTATCAGGCGTTCAGCGCATGCGTGACACCGCCATAACTATGGTCCACAGGTGTACAGTGAACTAGACACTTTGAGTAGTGGAAAAAGCGGCAGCCTCCACGTAAGGCACATCGTAGGCTCGTTCGATGTGCATGCACCACCTCCACCGGTGCAGAAACGTGTAAGGGTGTGTACTTCGGGTCGTATCTCAATACCATAGAATTATTATAATGTACGACGGAGGTTCAACTGGCGCCAGTATGCGGCGGCAAATTGAAGCAGACAGCAACCAGTCGGAAATTGACTTCCGGCCGGTAATGCATTTCTATGGGAAAAAAGCGAGTGCATTCTCTTCCTGCGTTTGATTATAAGAGAAAATATCAGGAATAATTCGCACGTACTAGGTAGATTGGGACGTTCCTCAGTCGCGCAGACAAAATAATTGATCAGTTATGGCGTTTTGATCTTAAATTCGTGGGCACGAAAAACTGTGCTAAAACCGCTTCGTAGATGTATTTATGTGCACTGTCGGACACTCTCAGCCCGTACAGGGCGTTGGAGCGTTCTACTATGGGGGATATACGTGTCAAACGAACGAAGGAAATGCGGAAAACCAAGAGGGACGGCAAGAACTACGCAGCAACGCTGGATAAGTAACTCCCTGTGCATGCAGACGATCAATATAAATTGAAAGCCACGTAATATAGTCCAATTTCCAATAAACAAGCACCGCTTTATTCTTTCTGCTCAAGAATATGTGCGACGATGCTTGTTCTGCATTCAAAACATCACCCGCATGCTCGAAAGATTTGAAAATGAGGAGAATAACCAAATAACGAGTGCCCGATAAAAGCTGCCCGACTTAGAAAATAACAAAAAGCCACACCTTTCATATCCCCCGTACTTTATTCTTTACGTTTCGAATGTTTTTTTTTTTTTTTTAGCATTCGAAACGTGAAATATAGCGAAGTTTAACATCGTTCAGTGGTAAAGAAAAATTCTGGAACTAAAGCAATTACACTTTTCCAATGTTAATAAAGGTACATACTATTCGCTATAATCCCCCCCCCCCCCCCCAAAAAAAAAAAAAAAAAAAAGTTATCTATGTTATTTTTTGTCGAAGAGACAAAATTCACGCGCGTTTGCCCATAGGAATGCACAGGAGCACCGCCAAGGTAGACAGGTTGCTGTCTGCTTCAACTTGCCTCCTGGAAGTCGCATAGACACTAGCGCCAGTTGAACCTCTAGCGTACGTCATAATAACTCTGTGCTCGATACAAACACCGGAAGTACAGTGCCCTCACTTTTCTGCAGGTTAAGAGGTGCAGAAAAATTGAACGTGCCTCCTGTTGAACCTACCACGTTGCGCCATCAGTCTTTTCACAAGCACTGCCATGCCGCGCTCGAATACGACAACCACGAGCCGCAATCCTAAGCCAATCGTTCGCATTTTTTTTAGGGGCGAAGCTCCTTAGGGTCTAGCCTTGTCCGTCCGGCGTCCGTCCTCACATCGATTGCCATCCCATCTGTCTTCTTAAAAGAGGAAAAAATGTTTGCGCAGTCGGCAGGATTTGAACCTGTACGGGGAGACTCCAATGAATATCTAATCCATCGCCTTAACCACTCGGCCACGACTGCGGGACGAGTAGGCGGCTCTGAGATGTGGTAGTAACTCAAAAGCTGGGGATGTCATGGATGAAATGTTGCATGTAGCCGCTCAAAGTCTAAACAGGAAAGGGCGCTACGGTCAAATGCGTATATAATCGCGTTAACATTTACATGCATTGGCTCAACCTTTATAGACAAGAGGGCGCTACGGTAAAATGCTCAACCGCGTACATAACCTCGATCCATACCACACATTCTCTTTCTGACATGGACCGTTGACTTAAAGGGGCGGGGCAACGATATTCGATTGGAATGTTTTTCACTTTACACGAGCTTACCGGCACTAGTGGGACTCAAGGATACTCGCACGCAGCGCCACTGACCAAGAAACTTCTTTTTTGCGCTGTAATTTCGAGGACAAAACCGAGTGTTTTCATTCAATCTCTCCTTCGCAAAACCTGATGACGTAGCTTGGCGGTAGCAGTACCGCCCAGTGACGATATTTGAATGCGGCTTATAGATTGGACCCGAGCATGGCGTGGACACTCGATTTGGGCTCGTGATAATCGATAGCTCGAGAAGCATTCGGGTAGTGTCCCGTGTCCAATCCCTACAATGGCGACAACAACCGAACCATAACAATGTCTAGAACTCAGCGCGTTTCCTGTACCTTGCCAACCCCAGCGCGAGGCTATGATCAACATTGGCGCCATATAATCGGCTCCAGATCACGTGGCCGCTTGTTCTGGCTGCGAGTTGAGGGGGTGAACTCTGCTCGTTTTTCTTAATTTTTTGTGCGACTTCGATTGCGTGTGGTGAAAAACAAACGGGTATTTCACAGGTCATTAACGTCAGGGATCCGTTCTAAGCGGTATTTGCGCAAAATACTGAAATCGTTGCATCGCCCCTTTAAGCGGTGGAGATGCGTTCCCACGGCTTTTACCGGATCCAAGCTGATCCACTAGAACCAATGGCTCTGCATTTCACCGACCATAATGCAGTAATAAAGAAGTCGAAACGCAACCTAGAGTGCCTTCATACACACGCGCGCTTTTGCTTGAGTGGTGACATCTCAGCCATTTTTCCGCCCAATCGTTTTTTTATGCATTTTGAAGTGCGCGCAATCTGGTGTCACTCAGCTCGAGCGCGTAGCTTTGGCTGATGCATAGACGCCATCTTACCGCCCAAGTCACGCACCGAGTGCGCGAGAGCGTCACGCGCTGGCACATTCAGGGCAACAATGGATGTCTTCACCCTGAGACAGACAGACATCTAGGCACCCTAACGCAACCCGGAACTCAGCGCTACCTATGAGCAATAAAAAAAATCAGCACCATCAGCAGTACCTATGAACAATGAAATCAGTATCATCAGCACCACCAGAGCTTCACCCCAATCAACATCATTCACCACGTAGACATGCCTCAATTTTTTTTTTTTTGGCGGGCACAGCAGAGCATTAGGGCACAAGAGCACGATCCCATCGGGACTTCAACGCCAGCACCACGCGCGGCTTACAACACCCTTGGCTTCACGCTGCGGATAGAGAACCGTCGCTGCTTTTTTCAACACTTCTACTTCTATAGTTCACTGTAACATGTAACAAGAGGCAGACAACAGCGCACAAGACGGCTCGTTACGTCTCGTGATCTGCACGCGCGGCGCTCGAGCGAGGTTGTCACACGTGCGGAAAGACTAAACTTCCCTCGATGTAATGCGGCAGCAGTGGTGTAATCAAATTGTTCGTCGAGATTGGTTTACTGGAGTACAGTTCCACAGGGGAAAACCATTTCATCGATTTCATCGATGGGTATTGGCGGCGAGATGTTTTGGTGGCGCCCTCCTATGGTTACCTTTCCTGGCGTCATTAACTTGCAAACAAGTTCGATGGTGTTTATTTTTAGCATAGTGGAGGCTGAAATCATCGCGCTCTGTCATCGCGCTCTGAAACCGTCGAAATTGAAGTTCTTAGATCATTCTTATTTTCGTCTATGAGAAATCCTTTGCTGACATCATAGTCAGCTTTCGGCCCATCGTGGCAGACCGATCAAAACGACGCTATCGATTGCTCACGTTGCCAATGTTTAGAACCACGTTGTCAACTCACTGAGGACGCATACTAATCGAAAACGGAATTGCAGTCGTAAAGCGAAGTTACTCGTTTTGTCATCGAAGCTTGCCGGCGCGGTGCGGCTGGGCAGGTTGGGCCGCTCTTTTCTTGACCGCTTAAAGACCGACCCTTAAGAACAGCTACCAGCTGCTGACCAATCAGAACTAGCCGAAGGCACTAACGTTTTCGACCCACTTTCGTCCCGTTTCCGCTTTAACATACCTGCGAGCGAAGCCAATGTCACAATAACGATCATGCTGCCTTGAAATACCTACGCTTTCACTGCTCGAGCGAGCGTGAGTACCTGGCCAGCACAAAACATTGCGCTCACTCTTCTTGCTTTTATTTATCGCTCGCATGCATATTGAGAAAAACAAAGCGATTGAGTAGGGGCAATGATGCGTGCAGCTAATGTTGTGCTCCTTTTTAAAGGAACCATCTATCTCGTTTGACACACATCGACATACATTCGTGGGCTTCATCGGCAGCGTTTTCAACATCCCAAAAGTTTCGAAATAATAACTTCTGAATCAGAAAGCCAGGAACTCAGAAAGTTTGATATATGGTCCGAACCGCTAGAGATACATTTGGGCGAAGACTGAGCGATAAGCAATGCGTAGTTTCTTAAAAAAAAAAAAAAAAATTGGGTTGTGTGTGTGTTTATACAGCCTAGAACTTGGTC